CAGCGGGGCCACTAAGGGCATGCATATGGGGCCACGATGGGCGCGTGCGAGCGGGGGCCACGACGAACAAATAGGCCCAGAACGGGCGACAGCGGGGCAACGAAGAGCAGTAATGGGGCCACGAAGGGCAGCGAGGGGGCCACGAAGGGCGACAGCGGGGCAAAGAAGGGCATGCATATTAAGGCCACGAAGGGCGACAGCGGGGCCACGAAGGGCATGCATATGGAGCCACAACGGGCGCGAACGAGCGAGGGCCACGAAGGGTATGCGTATATGGGGCCGCAGAGGGCAACGACGTGGCCACTGAGGGCAGCAACGGGGCCACGCAGGGCAGCGAGAGTGCAACGAAGGGCGACAGCGAGGCCATGAAAGGCATGCATATTAGGGCCGCGACGGGCGCGAACGGGCGGGGGCCACGAATGGCATACATACATGGGGCCAGGAAGGGCGACAGAGGGGCCCACAAAGGGCAGTGATGGGGCCGCGAAGGGCAGCGAGGGGGCCACGAAGGGCGACAGCGGGGCCACGAAGGGCATGCATAGGGGGCCACGACGGGCGCGAACGAGCGAGGGCCACGAAGGGTATGCGTATATGGGGCCGCAGAGGGCAACGACGGGGCCGCTGAGGGCAGCAACGAGGCCACGCAGGCCAGCGAGAGTGCAACGAAGGGCGACAGCGGGGCCATGAAGGGCATGCATATTAGAGCCACGACGGGCGCGAACGAGCGGGGGCCACGAATGGCATACATACATGGGGCCAGGAAGGGCGACAGAGGGGCCACGAAGGGCAGTGATGGGGCCGCGAAGGGCAGCGAGGGGGCCACGAAGGGCGACAGCGGGGCCACGAAGGGCATGCATAGGGGGCCACGACGGGCGCGAACGAGCGAGGGCCACGAAGGGTATGCGTATATGGGGCCGCAGAGGGCAACGACGGGGCCGCTGAGGGCAGCAACGAGGCCACGCAGGCCAGCGAGAGTGCAACGAAGGGCGACAGCGGGGCCATGAAGGGCATGCATATTAGAGCCACGACGGGCGCGAACGAGCGGGGGCCACGAATGGCATACATACATGGGGCCAGGAAGGGCGACAGAGGGGCCACGAAGGGCAGTGATGGGGCCGCGAAGGGCAGCGAGGGGGCCACGAAGGGCGACAGCGGGGCCACGAAGGGAATGCATAGGGGGCCACGAAGGGCGCGAGCGCGAGGGGGCCACGAAGGGCATATAATGCCGGGCCACAAAGGGCAGCGACGGGGCCGCTGAAGGTAGCACCAGGGCCACGAAGGGCAGCGAGGGGGCCACGAAGGGCGACAGCGGGGCCACGAACGGCATGCAGGCATGCATAGGGAGCCACGACGGGCGCGAACGAGCGGGAGCCACGAAGGGCATACATACATGGGGCCAGGAAGAGCGACAGCGGGGCCACTAAGGGCAGTGATGGGGCCGCTCAGCGAGGGGGCCACGAAGGGCGACAGCGGGGCCACGAAGGGCATACGTATGGGGCCACGAAGGGCGCGAGCGAGCGGGGGCCACGAAAGTCATAGAATGCGGGGCGTCCCGGACGACTGGAAGACCAAAGAACAGCGCATTCCCCAAATCATAAAACAACTCATAGGACATGGCTTTTCTTGCTTTTCGAGCCTCTTGGGGGTCTTCTCTGGTGGGTGTCTGGGGCCTCCGGGGGACCTTGGGGGTCGTTTGGTCGCCGTCCTGACCGATGTGTGCCCGTTGCCTAGGCCTAGCAGGGGCTTCCAGGATCTCTGGGAAGCCTGTGGAGGCCTTCTGCGGGAGAGTTGCACGCCCCCGGCTGGTTTAAAGAAGAAATCGTTGCCATTTATGTATATATATACATATATATGTGTGTATGCACACATATACAAATATACTTACTTACTTACTCCTCTTCCTCTATGTTTGCAAGCCCAGGGAGTGTGACACCCCCTGTAACCGTACCCCCAAGATCCGTGGTTTGTGGGCTTACCGGACACCGTTGCCAAAGATTCCCCGGCTCGCTGATCTCCCAGGGCGCTCAGCCGGGCCTTGCCAGCAGACCCTAAGCGATCAGAGCGGTGATCAGAGAGGCCGAGGAGAGACCCAAGACAGCACAAGAGCGCCCCAAGAAAGACCCAAATGGCCTCCAAAGGCCCCCAAACGGCCAAGGAGGCCCTCAACCGGACTTCCAGAACGCAGAAATCGTTTCCTTCCCTTAGGGGAACGTGCAATTTCAAATTTCAGCATAGTCGCTGTTCGGGTCTTCGCAGCGTCCACAACAGCCAGAAAGGCCCACAGTATCGCCCCAAGACGACCCAAAAAGCTCCCAAGAGACCCTCTAGACGGCTTGGATGACCCCAAGACTGTCCTAGGAAGCCCCAAATGAGCAAAAAAGAGACCCAACGTGCCCCCAGAAGGCGCCCAAGAGAACCCCAAGAAGGCAACATGACATCCTCGGCTTGGCACTGCTTTGTACTTTGCAACATTGCTTGACATTGCGTCGGTTTGCTTAGCATCCCCTCCCCCTGCTCCTCTGGGCCCTCCTCCTACTCCTCCGCCTCCTCATCTTTCTGCCGCTCCACCACTCGTGTTCCCCCACATCCGCTTCCTTCCCTCGCTCCCCGGCATCCCCCCCCTCGTATCCTTCGCCCTCCACCCAACGCCTTTCGGGGGCTGCTGGAGGCCCTGGAAGGGCCAGGGACCGCCCGAACTTTCGAAGACTTCTGCGAACCACCGCAGGGAATGGGTCAAATTTCCACGGCCACTAGGGATGGCGCGAACGACCAACATATGCAAAGCATCAAGGACCAAGGTGCATGGCGCGAAGCGCCAATGCAGTCTTGTATATGTAGATATACACACATCTATATATAGAGAGAGTGAGAAATATAGAAATCCAACAATGGACAGAACGAGGCGGCATGACATAAGCCCCAAGAGTAAAGCACTATATGCCTATAGAAGCGGCAGAAGAGCACATAGAGGCCGGGCCGAAACACTTCGACCCACTGTTGGCCCCGCGGAGCCAACCGATTGCATCGACGCCCCCAGAAATGTGGCATGCCTGTGACGTGCACCCGGCGTGCGCGGTGCACCGTCTGCGCGAAGCGAGCGGGTTCCTTACGCGAGAGCAAAGGATGGAGGGGCTAATCCAGGGCCACACCGATGAGGCATGGCTTGGTTCTCTCTCTCTCTCTCTCTCGAAAACGGCGACTCGTGGTCCACCTTTTGCATACCGTGGGTTTCTTAATAAGCGTGGGGGGATACCCCCCCGACGGGGGTCAACCTCGCTTCGTCGTCACGCCGCGACGGGGGTCGGAGCGCCTTCGGCGCGCGGTGGCTGCCCGCGACGGGGGTCGATGTGGGGCTGTCGGCGGGGGTGACGCCCCCCCGACGCTTATTAAGAAACTCGGAGTACAGTATGGAGGCGGGAAGCGAGGACGGATAAGATGAAGAGCTTATTCATGTGGCATGGCCGTACGCCTCAGAACAACCTTCGCGTTCGACGTGCAAAGATGTGCACGGCGGGAGACCGGGTCAGACCGCAGAGAACACGTTCAGTAGTGTGCTGGATCTATGGAGTACAAAATAAAGGAGCCCGAGATGTTTGAGCAATTCGTGTAGCAACCAGACGATTTCCAGTGTGCGTGTCTCATGAAACGCAACGCGCCCATCGGGTGATAACAATTGTGCTGTTTACCTCCCTCACGCAGGATACCCGGCTAACTTATTATAGTAAGTCCATGAAAAAAATCACTGGATACACAACTATTGGTGGGGATTCGATCAAAAGATGGCAAAATGGCGGCCGCCGTCAACCAATCAATGAAGAATGGCAGCGGGAACGGCCGTGATGAACAGAGTTGGACTTTCAGACATAGGTGGGCCATCAGAGAAATATTGATTTCATCTTGCATCCTCTAACCTTCATGCGGTGCCCTCAAGAATGTCAAATCATTTTGGGGTCAGAACGCATGCGTTATTTGCAGAACTCCTTGTCTGGAAAACCAGACACGGCCATGGCAAAGGGCCATCGTGCGCACCAAATCTGCGCCCGAGAGGGTCTGCTCCGATGTGTGGAAGCCGCGCGCTGCGATCGCTTGAAATCCGCTTGAAACTGCGACGGTCACGCACGGAGAAAATCCTATGCTCTACTCCCTTTTCCGAGTTGCCTTGGTCGGCAACAGGCTGGACGTGACCGCGAATACTGTAGCTCACCTGGCTGGAAGCCGCGCGCCGAGATCGCTTTTAAAGCCGCATTTGAAACTGCGACGGGCGCTCACAGAGCGCCTCCTGCACTACAGTCGGCCCGTATCATGGTGGGCTTGTTTTCCACCGCCACCACCAGAAGTAGGAGGAGGAGGGGGCCCTCCTCCTCCTCCTCCTCCTCCTCCTCCTCCTCGTCCTCCTCCTCCTCCTGCTACTCCTCCTCCTCCTCCTCCTCGTCATCATCATCCACCCCATCGAACTTATGGTGGTGGTGGAAAACAGGCCCATCATATCATAAGGACGCGCGATATGGAGGCAAGGGCCTCAGACGCCCAATTCGAAGCTTGTTTCAAGCGGGGCGCGGCCAACGAAAGTGGCGAAGGATGGACCGAGGAGGCAAGGATGCAGTGGTACCCTTGGGAAGGTTGCCCATCCTCACTATGCAGGTTGACTGCACTCCTTTCCACTCGTTGTCCAGTGAGGCCCCACATGTCGGTAACATCTGCGCGTTAAGCTCTGCCGTCCATCTTGGCGTACATGGAGTGCGCCATCCCCCGCATCTTCGCGAACAGCTTGTCTTGGCTGCGAGGACGAAGCAATATCTCTCCGTGCATGAACCCCTCGCACCACTGGATGTCCATCGGCTCACTGCTCGGCTGCTTGTTACCTGAACCGTCCAGAAGAGCGGAGGAGTTTGAACGGGGCGGTCTTCTCTGGCTACGCTGCTTACGCTCTCTTCGCTCGTGATCCAAGAGGCGGCGAATGTACAAGCTGGGCACGATGTGATCGTCGGCGGCGAACTCAATCACAGAGGGCACATGCAGGTCTTCCGGCCAGATCTGGTTCTGTTCCCAAAAGTTGTTGCGAGTGAGAAGGTTCTGAGTAAACAGCTCCTGAAAACAGAAATCCGCCACCGTGCCTTCGGCACGAAGTGGCGTGGTCTTAGGCACATGCAGCCTCTGCAAGGTAGAAAACTTGTGGTTCTTAAGGGCCTGGACCATGGTCTCCCAGGGCGGTCCCAGGCGCTCCCGCGTCCTCTTGAGGTGTGTCGCCTGGGCTTTTGGGACGCCGACAGAGCCTCAAGACGGGCCATGAGGACTCCAAAAGGCCCCCAAGAAGGTCGAAGAGGGTCCAGAGTCGTCGAACGATCGGTCCAAGACGCCCACGATGGCCTCCAGACGGCCGAAGATGCCCCCAAGACGCCCCAGTAGGCCTCCAAGAGGCCTCCTAAGAGGGCCCCAAGAGGCAACATTCATAAATTGTTCTGGGATGTTTGACAGATCTTGGCGTTCTCGCCTTTTTGGCTTCCCGACGCTCCAATACGACCCAAGAGGCTGTACAGACCGCCCAAAGACGGTCCAAGAAGCCTCCAAGAGGGCACTACAGCGGCCCAAAAGGGTTTCAAGACTGCCCAAGCGCCCCCGGGACGGCTCCAAGGGGGGGGGGGGCCAGACAGGGGACCCGAAGGGACAGTTGCACTCGGCCCCCCCAACCCCCCAGGAGGCCTCAACAGGCGCCCAAGAGGCCCCAAGATGCTCCCGGGAAGCCCCAAGAGGCCCCCAAGAGGCTCTTCAGAGGCCCCCAAGAGGCTCCCAAGAGGCCCCAAAAGAGCCCTCCAGAGGCTCCCGCGAGCGCTCCGAAGAGATTCCGAGAAGCAGAAATCATTCGAAACCATAGGGAAAACGTGCATTACGCTACCGAGGAACCCCACATACCTATTTTATTTCCCATGTGTACCATCGGTGCTTCTGCTGCTGCTCCTCCTTCTCCTGCTCGGTGTCCCCCTCCTGCTGCTGCTTCTGCTGCTGCTGCTTCTGCTGCTGCTGCTGCTGCTGCTGCGTCTGCTGCTGCAGCTGCTGCTGCTGCTGCCGCTGCTGCTGCCCCACCTCCCCGTCCTCCTCCTCCTCCTCCTCCTCCTCCTCCTCCTCCTCCTCCTCCTCCTCCTCCTCCTCCTCTACCTCCTCCTCCTACCTCCCAGCGCACCCCCTGTGGCGTCGAGGAAATGCCACGCCTGCCACGCCCTGGGAGCCTGCAACGCACAGGGCCCCCACCCCCAGCGCACCCCCTGTGGCGTCGAGGAAATGCCACGCCTGCCACGCCCTGGGAGCCTGCAACGCACCCCTCCGGTGTCGAGGAAATGCCACGCCTGCTAGGCCCTGCGACATTGGCGCGTATAGAGACCGCGGTGGGCCCCCACCCCCAGCGCACCCCCTGTGGCGTCGAGGAAACGCCACTCCTGCTAGGCCCTGCGACATTGGCGCGTATAGAGACCGCGGTGGGCCCCCACCCCCAGCGCACCCCCTGTGGCGTCGAGGAAATGCCACGCCTGCTAGGCCCTGCGACATTGGCGCGTATAGAGACCGCGGTGGGCCCCCACCCCCAGCGCACCCCCTGTGGCGTCGAGGAAATGCCACTCCTGCTAGGCCCTGCGACATTGGCGCGTATAGAGACCGCGGTGGGCCCCCACCCCCAGCGCACCCCCTGTGGCGTCGAGGAAATGCCACTCCTGCTAGGCCCTGCGACATTGGCGCGTATAGAGACCGCGGTGGGCCCAGCGCACCCCCTCCTGCGTGGCGCCCGCGGTGGGCCCCCACCCCCACGCACCCCCTGTGGCGTCGAGGAAATGCCACGCCTGCTAGGCCCTGCGACATTGGCGCGTATAGAGACCGCGGTGGGCCCCCACCCCCAGCGCACCCCCTGTGGCGTCGAGGAAATGCCACGCCTGCCGAGCTCAGGGACCACCCCCCTGCACACCCGCTCTGGTGCGAGAAGGAGAAGGGGAGGGGGGAGGTGTGAGACGCGGGTGCGGCGCGGCAGGGAAAAAACCAGAACCCCACGAAACATGTGGGGAATGTTTAGCAACTCGGCTCCAAGAGGGGGCCCAAATTCGCAAGTTCGGAACATGCTGGAGACGATGGCGGGTCCTCACCACAACAAGAGGAAGCCACAGAGCCCCATTTAGAAGAAGAATAAGCCACATAAACATAAACGTTTGGCGCTCCGCGCGGATTTCTTGGATCCGCGCTGGACCCCCCTCCCTGGCGCGCGGAGCGCGCCAGGGGTGGCGCCGGAGGCGCCGCCCGGGGGCCCAGGCGCGGATCCAAGAAATCCGCGCGGAGCGCCAACAGTTTATGTTTACGTGGTTAGTTCTTCTACGACCACTGGGATGTCAGAGATGCCTGCCTGACGCCGCCCAAAACACCCTCAAGGTCTCCACGACGCCCCCCGGGAGGCCCCCCCCCAACAAAAGGAAATCTCCCAAAGGCAAAGGCATTCTGCCCACGACCCAGGCGCGGCGGGGGAGATGGGCCGCAAGCAACTAGCTCCGCCGCCCCCCGTTGCTTTATCACAGGGGTGCATGGCTCGGGGGCGCGCAAACATGGATTAGCGACCCATGGATTTGGCGCGCGGTCGCCAAATCCATGGATCGGGTGAGGTGCCCTCCCCAAAATGCGGCCGGTGGCGCCTCGTTCGGCGGCGGCAATCCGATGTCATATGGAAACGAGACCCGTCGCTAATCCACGCCCCCTTAATCCATGTTTGCGATCGTGTGAATGGCGTGCTAAGGTTCAGGTGTTGTTGGTTATTTTGAAGACTCCCCCATGAAGTTTCGGTCCATTGCGCCGGCTGCACCTGCCGTTTGCTTTTTCGCTCAAGATGGCCTCCAAGTGGCCTCCGAGACAGCCGAGATGCCTCCAAGACGGCCAAGAAAGCCCCTAGAGAGCCCAAGATCGACCCAAGATGGCCTCCGATACGATTCTAAGATGTCTCCAAAACCGTTAAAGATTGTCCAAGAGAGCCCAAGACGGCCCCAAAAGCGCCCAAGAGGCCCCGAAGATGGCCCAAGAGGCCTCCAAGAGGTCCTCCAAGGCCCGTAGAGGCCAAAATCATTGACTTTCGTTTGTTTTTTGAAGGATGTTGGTATTTCTTTCATTTCGGCATTCCAACGGCCAAGACGGCCAGAGAAACCCCCAAGATCGCCCAAAAGGCCTCCAAGATGGCCCCAGGACGGCCCAAGAGGCTCCTCAGACGGCCCCCAAAGGGCCCCAAGACGGCCCAAGAGGCCTCAAAAGACGCCCAAGATGGCCTCCGAGATCACCCTGAAGCTCCCCAAGAGAGTCCCAAGACGGCCTAGAGAGGCTCCCAAGACGGCTTTCGACGGCGTCAGACGGGCCAGGAACGCCGTCAGAAGCCAAAGAGGCCCCAAGAATGTTCCAAGAGGCTCCCAAGAGGTCTCCCCTTCCTTCCCCTCCTCCTCCTTCTCCTCCTCCTCCTCCTCCTCCTCCTACTCCTCCCCCTTTTCCTGCCTCTCCTAATCCTCCGCTCCCCCTTCCACAGGTTCCCCGAAGGGTTTCCACAACGGCTGGGGGAACACTTAATCCCATAGCGCGGCCAGTCTTTGTCCAAACATTTGGCCGTACAGGCGGAGGCGGATACTCAAAGGCAGGGGGCGGCAGTGATTCGCTGTAGGCGTCTTCGATACCTGACAAGAATCTCAACGGCGCTGTTGACCGGGCCACAACAGATCTTGACGCAGCACTCTGCGCTCATCACAAGAAAGCAGGCTGGATCTAACAGCGTGACGCAGACCACCGAGCTCGGTGACATTTTGAGCACCCAGCCTACAACGACTGCGCCGAACGAGTGGCCAGTAAAATGAGCAGCCGTGTGGCCGTGAGCCCTGAGCATGTCCGTCAGCTGCGCCACGACCTCGCGAGGGCTGGGCACGCTGAGCCAGGGCGCGGTCGCGAGGAAGGGGAGGTCTGGCACGAAGATGTCGCCGCTGTGCGTCCTCGCCAGCCGCAGGACGAAGAGGTAGTACGGGACGAGTCCCACGCCGAGTCCGTGCACGACCACCTCAGGAGGAGGGAGAACCACCCCCACCGATGCCCTTCGTCCGTTTTTCCCGTTTTCGGGCCTCCCGGGAAGCCCTCGTCGCCAGCGCTGGATTCGCGTCGAAAGTCTGGTCAGAACGCACCCCAGCAGAGGTCCGAGGAGTAGCGGTATCGGTACCTTTTGGTTTCCTCACCACCATGGGCGTCTGCATGGCCCCTGCGATATCAGCCGCGGGATCCACTCCAGAGCAAGGCAGCCGATGCCAGTAGGTCAGCCCACCGATCCGCTCCTTGCGGAAGCCGATCATCGACATGACCTGCATGGTCATCAGAGGGCAGAGGAGAGTAGTGCCGACGTACAGCAACAACGGTCGGTGGAGCGTTTTTAGTGGGTCTGACCAGACCCGGACAGCATGAACTCTGTCGTTGCGGCCTTCTTGTAGGTCAAGTCCCATGTTCTCCAAAACGAGGTTGACAAGCCCCGAGAGCTCCGCCCCCTCGTTCGGGCTTCTCTGCTTCAGCTCCTCCGCGTGGGCACCCCGAAACCAGTAATGCGATACCCAGTCCTCGAGATTCCCGCGCCGTAGCCAGGCCGCAATGTCGCTGACCTCCCCTTTGCCCTCGCCGCAGAAGAAACTCGCAAGGTCCGTCCACTTGGCCAGCTGCAGGTCGGCATCCGTGATGTCCCCGTTGCCCTCCCACATCTTCAGCATGTCGTTGACGCTCTGCTCCCTGCCGCCGCCCCCCAGGCCGAGCAGGTTGGCAGCGCTCAGCTTGTGGCCGCTGCCCCCCAGGCCGAGCAGGTTGGCGGCGCTCAGCTTCTGCCCGTGCACGGGCTTCGACAGCGAGTGGGCCGAGGACGCCGGCTTCAGCGAGGGCGCCGAGCCGCCCGCGTCCTGCAGCGCCCTCGCCCTGCCCCGCCTGCTGAGTATCGTTTAACCGATCCCCATCCCCAGCGGCGTGGCCTGGGCCCCACAGGCCGATCTGGCCCCCCAGATGGGGATACGGGTCGTTCCCTTCGGGTTTCGAGGAGTGTATCCCCAACTGGGGTGGTAATTTGGTGGGGGTCTCGAAGGGGATGGGGATCGGCTGGACGATACCGACCTGGGGGAGTCGCCCGCGTCGTGCTGCCTGCAGACCTGCGCCAGCGACAGCAGCCACCGCTCGCCGAGGAGCCCAGCAAGGGCAGAGCCAAGAGCGCTCGGAGCTCCGCGCGGACTGCCCGGATCGGCGCGCTGGGCCCCCCCCGGCGGCGACTCCGGCGCCGCTCCTGGGGCGCGCTCCCGCGCGCCAGGGAGGGCGGCGCGGCGCCGAGGACTCCGCGAAGAATCCGCGCGGAGCTCCGAGAGGTCGCTCGCCCGTGCCACCCTCTCGGCTCCTCGAGCTCGAGGGACCTCCTCTTCTTCTCCGCGGTGGAGTGCACGGCGACCGCCTGCCACCGCCGGTTCGTCTGGGAGCACAGGTACCTGCTCCTCCTCCTCCTCCTCCTCCTCCTCCTCCTCCTCCTCCTCCTCCTCCTCCGGGGCACCAAGAGGTACCAATGCCGCTGCTGCTTGTGGACCTTGCCCAGGGTTCAGAAGCTCGAGGCGAATGCAGCGGTGGCGACGAGGGACTCCCATAGAAGAACAAAAACCATAATCAAATATACTGTTTTGGCGCTCCGCCTGATGTTTCTTGGGTCTGCGCCGGGCCCCCTTCCCTACCGCGCGGAGCGCGCCAGGGGCCCTGCGCGGATCTCCAAGAAATCCACGCGGAGCGCCAAAGTTTTATGTTTGATGCCGCTGTTTCTCCCTCGGCCCCAGGAGGCTCAAAGAGGCGAAAACGAGAAAAGGCAGCGGCATCGGCACCTCGGATGAGATCCGACGTTGCAAACAAAAATGACAACATCGCAAGCAATCACGCCCAGCCCCCCAGACCCCACCTTCCTGCGTCCTTTTTCGAGCCGGATCGATTTGTGAGGGCCCCGGGGGGCCCGAGATCGAGGGGAACCGCCCGCTGTGGCAAAATTGCAATGCCAGGATCTCAGGGTCGTCCTCCTCGGAGCACCTCCGACACGACTCCATGTACGCCCAGAACAGCGTCTCCGCCAGCATCCACACGGACGCCGCCTGGAGCAGGAGCCGCCGCAGCGCCCCCCTGCCAGCCAAGGCGCGCCGCGCCAAGCTCAGGGAGCTCCAGCACGTGGCTAGCGCCTGGCGGCGCGCTGAGGGGGGCAGGCGGGCAGGGGGAGAAGGCTTCTCAGATTTCGACGGAGGCTGCTTCCCAGAAGGCGCGGGCCTGACCTGTACTGGCTACGGCCCGCGCCTTCCTCCTGCTAAGAAACCTTCCCCCCTCCCCCTGCCCCCCTCTGCGCGTGGCCGGAGCGCCGCCAGCGGCGCGACGCTCCGCACCGCCAGGATGAGCACCCTCGCGGCCAGGGCCCCCGCCAGGCCTTCCCTGGCCAGCACCCGGAGCGCCGGCGCCGTGGCCAGCGCCGCCGCCGCCAGGAGACCGCGCCGCCCGCCGAAAGCCTGCTGGGCGCGAATCTCTTCCTCCTCCTCCTCCTCCTCCTCCTCCTCCTCCTCCTCCTCCTCCTCCTCCGGGGGAACAAGGTAAATGGGTGGGGGGGGGGAGACAGGGTGCCCTCTCCGGGCCCTGGAGGAGGTCCCCTTCGGCCCCCTTCTGGGCCTTCAAGGGCCTCTTTGGGGGAGCCCCTTCTGGGCTCCTTTCTGCAGCCCTCGCTGCCCCCCCCATTCTTGAGCAGGGACCGATCGTCCCGGCAATCCGATAGGCCTACCACGACATCTTCTTAGAACCCCCAAATGTTCTAAGAACAAAAGCAATGTTCTCATAACATACAACCGATGTGTCAAAACGAGACAGTCCCAGCCAGACATGTTCGAAGAACATTTCGGGGAAGCCACAAAAGGTTCTTAGAACATTCTTTGGTAGGCCTATAGGCGAGCCAAGACGCTTCGCCACTGCTTGACATTTCGGGTCCTCCGAGCCTGCGCTGCCAGACCCATGCCGTGGGCAGCGCCGGTGATCGAGGGCCCTGGCGCGGCGGCCATGCCAGTGCGCGGGGCTGCGCCCGAGGCCGCCCGGCAAACTGGACAACTCGAGCCAGAACGGCTGCGGGGCCGGCTCGTGGCTGCAATGGGAACTGCGGATGCAGCGCGGTACTGTCGGGCTGTTGAAGCAAAGAACGCCAGAGAAGGAACGAAGCTCCCTTTTTGGCACCAGAGGTGCCCGGGTGCACGAGGAGAAGGGCTGGAGGGACGACCACGGGGAATGATCTGAGGAACAGCGAGCCCCTTCCGAACCCGAAGCGGCCCTCATTCCAGCGTCTTGGCTGTAGGAGCACAACGACGCCAGCGGTAGCAATGTCCATCGATACCCACGGAAACATTTCGCGACCCCACCGGTCAGTCATGGAGCAGCGCCAGATCCGCCACCAGTCGATGCAGCGATTGATTCGTTTATGGTCTGGACCCACGGAAGTGACAGGATATCGGCTTTGAAACGAAAATGATGGCCTTGTCATTTGGGCAAGGCATGGCCGAGATTGGGCGCCTCTGGCACTCTTCAAGTGCGGATGCGTGTGTGTCGAGCCACTCGTTCTTCTTTGTAGTATTGTCTCTCGCGAGGCAATGGCGGCTTCATCGGAGGGCAGAATATCCACCCTCCTAATAAGCACCCACACAATCGAAGCCTTTCAGTCACCGAGCCTGACGAGAAAGCAATCAAACAGGGCGGGACTGTTTAGTAAACGCACGGGGCTTTTCAATACAGTAAGAGCTCGACCATCAGAAACCTTCCGCAAGGAACCCAACCCTGAGACCCCAGGACGTCCACTGATTCCCCACATGTTTCGTGGGGTTCTGGTTCCCTACCTAGGCTCTGCCTAAAAGGGTTCTTACTCTCTTAGCTTAAAGGGGCCGGGCAGTGCACACCGCCCGGGCGGTTCCCCCAGTCCCCGCCCCGCGGTTCCCCCAGTCCCCTGGGAGCTTTAGCTTTAGCTTTAGCTTAGCTTTAGCTTAGCTTTAGCTTAGCTTTAGCTTAGCTTTAGCTTAGCTTTAGCTTAGCTTTAGCTTAGCTTTAGCTTAGCTTTAGCTTAACTTTGGCTTAGCTTTAGCTTAGCTTTAGCTTAGCTTTGGCTTAACTTTAGCTTAGCTTTAGCTTAGCTTTAGCTTAGCTTTAGCTAGCTTTAGCTTAGCTTTAGTTTAGCGTTGGCTTAGCTTTAGCTTAGCTTCAGCTTAGCGTTAGCTTAGCGTTAGCTCAGCTTTAGCTTAGCTTTAGCTTAGCTTCAGCTTAATCTTAGCTTTAGCTTTAGCTTTAGCTTAGCTTTAGCTTAGCTTTAGCTTAGCTGTAGCTCAGCTGTAGCTCAGCTTTAGCTTAGCTTTAGCTTAGCTTTAGCTTAGCTTTAGCTTAGCTTTAGCTTAGCTGTAGCTTAGCTGTAGCTTAGCTTTAGCTTAGCTTTACTGTTACTACTAATGCTGCTTTCCTAGGGGCTCCAACTCCTAGGTAGGGTCGCACTGGGATAATTTTCTTCCCTGCCGCATCGCACCCGCGACGCTCACTCACCTCCCTCTTCCCCTCCTCCCTTTTCCTCTCCTCACCCACACGCAACACCTGCACGCACGTGCATGAGACACGCGTCTACATACAGCCGCACGCATGCACACACTCGCACACACACCATACAAAGCTAGTGCACGCCTGGCGTGTTCATTGCATCATACACCCACGACTGCATCATGGGCACATACACATGAGGCGCACGTCCCGATACGGCCGCACACGCATCATACACATACGCATGACATGCCATATCAATAAGACGTGCGTGTAGGATTCGCAGTGCATGGCAGGAGGCTCTATGCGGGCCATGGCGCAGGGCACGGCAGGCGTGGCACTTTCTCGTCACCAGAGGGGGTGCGCAGGGGGTGGTCTCTGAGCGCGGTCGCTATCCGAGCCGGTCGTCCAGGGCATAGCAGGCGTGGCACTTTCTCGACACCTGAGGGAGTGCGCAGGGGGTGGTCCCTCAGCGCGGTCTCTATACGTGGCAATGTCGCAAGGCCTAGCAAGCGTGGCATTTTCTCGACAACGGAGGGGGTGCGCACACCGCGGCTTCTATACGCGCCAATGTCGCAGGGCTTAGCAGGCGTGGCATTTTCTCGACACCAGATGGGGGTGCGCAGGTGGTGGTTTTTCCGCGCGGACTCTATAAGCGCCAGAATGTCGCAGGGCCTAGCATGCGTGGCACTTTCTCGACACCGGAGGGAGTGCGCACGGGGTGGTCCCTCACCGCGGTCTCTATACGCGCCAATGTCGCAGGGCCTAGCAGGCGTGACACTTCCTCGACGCCAAGGGGGTGCGCAGGGGGTGGTCCCCCAGCGCGGTTTCTATACGCGCCAAATGTCGCAGTGCCTAGCAGGGGTGGTATTTTCTCGACGCCAAAGGGGTGCGCAGGGGGTGGTCCCTCAGCGCGGTCTCTATACGCGCCGATGTCGCAGGGCCTAGCAGGTGTGGCACTTTCTCGACGCCAAAGGGGGTGCGCAGGGGGTGGTCCCTCAGCGAGGTCTCTATACGCGCCAATGTCGCAAGGCCTAGCAGGCGTGGCACTTTCTCGACACGGGAGGGAGTGCGCAGGGGGTGGTTCTTCACCACGGTTTCCACACGCGCCAGATGTCGCAGGGCCTAGCAGGTGTGGCACTTTCTCGACGCCAGGGGGGTGCGCAGGGGGTGGTCCCTCAGCGCGGTTTCTATACGCGCCAACGTCCCAGAGCTTAGCAGGCGTGGCATTTTCTCGACGCCAAGGGGGTGCGCAGGGGGTGGTCCCTCAGCGCGGACTCTATACGCGCCAATGTCGCAGGGCCCACCAGGCGTGGCACTTTCTCGACACCGGAGGGAGTGCGCACGGGGTGGTCCTTCAGCCCGATGTCTATACGCGCCAACGTCGCAGGGCTTAGCAGGCGTGGCACTTTCTCGACACCAGAAGGGGTGCGCAGGTGGTGGTCCCTCAGCGCGGTCTCTATACGTGCCGAAGTCGCAGGGCCTAGCAGGTGTGGCACTTTCTCGACGCCAAGGGGGTGCGCAGGGGGTGGTCCCTCAGCGCGGTTTCTATACGCGCCAGATGTCGCAGGGCCTAGCAGGGGTGGTATTTTCTCGACGCCAAAGGGGTGCGCAGGGGGTGGTCCCTCAGCGCGGTCTCTATACGCGCCGATGTCGCAGGGCCTAGCAGGTGTAGCACTTTCTCGACGCCAAAGGGGGTGCGCAGGGGGTGGTCCCTCAGCGAGGTCTCTATACGCGCCAATGTCGCAGGGCCTAGCAGGCGTAGCACTTTCTCGACACCGGAGGGAATGCGCAGGGGGTGGTTCTTCAGCACGGTTTCCACACGCGCCAGCGCGGTCCCTCAGCGCGGTTGTATACGCGCTACATGTCGCAGGGCTCAGCAGCGACAGCAGAAGAGATGCGCAGGGGTGGTCCCTCAACGCGGTCTCTATACGCGCCACTGTCGCAAGGTCTAGCAGGTGTGGCACTTTCTCGACGCCAAAGGGGTACGCTCAGCGTGGGCTCTATACGCGCCAATGTTGCAAGGCCTAGCAGGCGTGGCACTTTCTCGACACCAGAGGCGGTGCGCAAAGGGTGGTCCCTCAGCGCGGTCTCTATACGCGCCAATGTCGCAGGGCTTAGCAGGGGTGACACTTTCTCCACACCAGAGGGGGTGCGCAGGGGATGGTCCCTCAGCACGGTCTATACGCGCCAATGTCGCAGGGCCTAGCACGCGTGGAACTTTCTCGACACCAGTGGGGAAGCGCTGGGGGTGCGGCCGCTGTCCGTTTCGGCCTCGCAAAGCGTGGCAGGCGTCGCACTTCGTCGACGCCACAGAGGTTGCGCTGGGGGTGCGGTCGCTGCCCGTTTCGGCCTCGCAAAGCGTGGCCGGCGTGACACTTCCTCGACGCCACAGGGGGTGCGCTGCGGATGCGGTTGCTATCCGCTTCGGCTTCGCAAAAGCGTGGCACCCGTGGCACTTTCTCGACGCCACAGGGGCTGCGCTGGGGGTGCGGTCGCTATCCGTTTCGGCCTCGCGAAGCGTGGCAGGCGTGGCACTTCCTCGACGCCACAGGGGGTGCGCTGGGGGTGCGGTCGCTATCCGCTTCGGCCCCGCAAAGCGTGGCAGTCGTGGCAATTTTTCGACGCCACAGGGGGTGCGCTGGGGGTGCGGTCGCCATCCGTTTCGGCTCGCTAAGCGTGGCCGGCGTGACACTTCCTCGACGCCACAGGGGGTGCGCTGGGGGTGCGGTTGCTATCCGCTTCGGCCTCGCAAAGCGTGGCAGGTGTAGCATTTTCTCGATGCCACAGGGGGTGCGCTGGGGGTACGGTCGCTATCCGCCTCGGCCTCGCAAATCGTGGCAGATACTTCCTCGACGCCGCAAGGGGGTGCGCTGGAGGTGCAGTCGCTATGCGTTTCGGCCTCGCAAAACGTGGCAGGCGTGGCACTTCCTCGACGCCACAGGGGGTGCGCTGGGGGTGCGGTCGCTAACCGTTTCGGCCTCGAAGCGTGTTGCAGGCGTGGCATTTTCTCGATGCCACAGGGGGTGCGCTGGGGGTACGGTCGCTATCCGTTTCGGCCTCGCAAAGCGTGGCAGGCGTGACACTTCCTCGACGCCACAAGGGGTGCGCTGGGGGTGCAGTCGCTATGCGTTTCGGCCACGCAAAGCGTGGCATATACTTCCTCGACGCCACAAGGGGGTGCGCTGCGGGTGCGGTCGCTATCCGTTTCGGCCTCGCAAAGCGTAGCAAGCGTGGCACTTTCTCGACGCCACAAGGGGGTGCGCTGGGGGTGCGGTCGCCATCCGTTTCGGCCTCGCAAAACGTGGCAGGCGTGGCACTTCCTCGACGCCACAGGGGGTGCGCTGGGGGTGCGGTCGCTACCTGGTTCGGCCTCGCAACGTGTGGCAAGCGTGGCACTTTCTCGATGCCACAGGGGGTGCGCTGGGGGTAGTGTCGCCATCCGTTTCGGCCTCGCTAAGCGTGGCCGGCGTGACACTTCCTCGACGCCACAGGGGGTGCGCTGGGGGTGCGGTCGCTACCCGTTTCGGCCTCGCAACGTGTGGCAGGCGTGACACTTCCTCGACGCCACAGGGGGTGCGCTGGGGATGCGGTCGCTTTCCGTTTCGGCCTCGCAAAGCGTGGCAGGCGTGACACTTCCTCGACGCCACAGGGGGGTGCGCTGGGGGTGCGGTCGCTATCCGCTTCGGCCTTGCAGCTCTCCTCTTGACTGGCGTCACCAACGGTATCGGCGGCGCAAGGGCCACCAACATCATGCTCACATGCTTCACTTCAGCTATCATAACTCCAGCCATCATATAAGTATGTGGGGTTTCTCGGTAGCGTAATGCGCGGCCCCTCTAATATCGGTCATTATCGAACTTCCGAGTCGTTCCTGGTCAGATCACCTCTGCCCCGGCCCCGACATTGGAGGGGCGCCTATCGACATTGAAGGGCGCGCCGACATCGCAGCGGCGGGGTCGCCATTTTTGAGGTTAATTTTGACGAGGGTAGCAGGAGGCCGAGATGACGCTCCCGAGCTTACGCCGCTCCGGGTTGCCGAGGGCGGCTGCCAGAAGGCCGCGGGAGGGCCGCCGCGGGCCGCCGAAGAGGGCCACCGATGACGGCCGCCCCGGCGGCGCGTCGGGGACGCGGCGCGGCGCCCGGCCGCTGCGCGGGACCGCCAGCGGCGCGGCCTCGCGTGACCTGGCGAAGGCCTGCGGCGAGCGCCGGCGGCGACGACGCAGACGGCGACGACGACGACGACGACGACGACGACGACGACGACGACGGACGACGGACGACGACGACGACGACGACGACGACGACGACGACGACGACGGACGACGACGACGACGACGACGACGACGACGACGACGACGACGACGACGACGGCGACGACGACAGCGGCGGCGGCGGCGGCGGCGGCGGCGGCGCGGCGGCGGCGGCAACGACGACGACGACGACGACGACGACGACGACGACGGCGACGACGCCGACGACGACGACAATAGCGCCGATCGACGGCGATGAGGGGAACGGCGACGGCGACGACGGGAATGGCGACGGCGACGGCAGCGGCGACGATGGCGGCGACGGCGACGGTCGACGGCGAAGACGACGGAGGTCGACGGCGAAGACGACGACGGCGAAGCAGGCGGCGACGATGGCAACGGCGACGGCAGCGGCCACGGCAGATCTGGGGGAATGGAGCGAGGATCGAGTGTCCAGATTGTTTTGCGGTGTTGTACTTCTGTTGCTCGGGTCGCCAGGGGCTTCTGGAAAACTCTCGGCACCTCTAGAGATCTCTGGAGACGACGCCCAGGGTTCGAGGATCAAGAGCTTGAGTCATTTCTGCCGCCTCGCGAGCCTCTGGAAACGTCGAGGCACGTCAAGTCAGGGCGGAAAAGGTTCAGAGGAATGGGCGAGGGGTCGGAGGAGGGATGCGGATTGGTAGGGAAGGTCTGGTGGCGTTGCGTCAAACGTTTAGGGGGAGCGAGGCCCAACAAAGCATGCATGGGAGGGGAAACTGGGGAGCGGCCCCAAAACACGGCCGAGACCCGTCCCGCCGGGGAGAAGGGCGGGGGGAGCTCTCTTGTGGCCGAGGGCCTGTGTGGGCAGAGCTCCCGCCCAAACCTGGAGGAGGAGGCGGAGGAGGAGGAGGAGAAGGAGGAGGGAGCGGACCTCGTAGGAGTAGGAGAAGGAGGAGGAAGAGGAGGCGGAGGAGGAAGATGAGGAGGAGGAGCAGCAGGAGGAGGGAGAGGAGGAGGAGGAGGAGGAGGAGGAGGACGACGACGACGAGGAGGAGGGGCGAGAGGAGGAGGAAATGAGAGGAGGAGAATAAGAGACGAGACGAGGATGAGGGGGAGGAGGAGGGAAGGAGCGGAGGGAGGAGGGGGAGGAGAGGAGGAGGAGGAGGACGGAGGAGGAGGAGGAAAGAGGAGAAGAGGGGAGGAAGGAGGAGGAGGAGGAGGAGGAGGACGAGAGGAGGAGGAGGAGGAGGCGGAGGAGGAGGAGATAGAAAGATAGAGGAGTAGGAGGAGGAGAAGGAAGGAGGAGGAGGAGGAGGAGGAGAGGAGGATGAAGGAGGGACGCGGAGGAGGGGGAGGAGAGAGGAGGAGGAGGAGGAGGAGGAGGAGGAGGAGGAGGAGGAGGTGGAGGAGGAGGAGGAGGAGGAGGAGGAGGAGGAGGAGGCGATGGAGGAGGGGAGGCGAGGAGAAGGAGGAGAAGAAGAGAGGAGAGAAGGAGGAGGAGGAGATAAGGAGGAGGAGAAGGAGGAGGCGGACGAGGAGGAGGGATGTAAATTGGAAAAGGAGGAGGAGGAACAGAGCAGGAAGAGGAGAAGGAGGATGAGGAGAGGAGGAGGGCGGAGGACGAGATGCCGAGGGCATGAGGAGGAGGAGGAGGAGGAGGAGGCGGAGGATGAGGAGGAAGAGGAGCAAGGGGGAGGAGAGGAGGAGGAGGAGGAGGAGGAGGGAGGAGGAGAAGGAATAACGAGGGCATGGAAAGGGGAGGAGGAGGAGGAAGAGGAGGAGGAGGAGGAAGAGAGGCTGGAGGAGGCAGAGGAGGAGGAGGAGGAGGAGGAGTGAGGAGGAGGAGGAGGAGGAGCAGGAGGAGGAGGAAGGAGGAGATAGGGGATATAAGGAAAAGGAGGAAGAGGAGGAGAGGAGGAGAGGGGGAGGAGGCGGAGGACGCGGAGGAGCAGGAGGAGGAGGAGGAGGCGGAGACGAGGAGGAGAAGGAGTAGCGAGGATGAGGGGGAGCAGGAGGGGAGGAGGAGAGGAGGAGAGGAGGAGGAGGAGGAGGAGGATGAGAAGAAGGAGGAGCAGGCGGACGAAGATGAGGTCAAGGAGGAGGAGGAGGATGAGGATGATGAGGAGGACGACGAGGACGGGGAGCAGGAGGAGGAGGAGGAGGAGGAGGAGGAGGAGGAGGAGGAGTGAACGAAGCCTGGAGGGCGAACAGTTCGCTTCGGTTAGCGAGCCCCCCGCTGCACTGGGAGCTCACTCTCTCGGCTCGCGGGCGGGGGGGGGGAGCTCCGAGCACGGGACACGAGCGTTTACGTCGTTTCTGCCTGTAGCAGCTTGCGAGGGCACAGGGCGCGGCAGGCTGGCCGTGCGCACGCAGCTGGTGGAGCTGCCCGCGGCAGCAGACAGAGGCACAGGGTGCGGCAGGCGGGCCGCGCGCGGGCGGCTCGGGGGCGTCAGGCAGTCGCGGCGGCCAGCTCCTCCAGTAGCGTCGTGAGGAAGCTGAAGAGCATGCCGAGCAGCACGAGTGGCCGCGTAGCCATCTGTCGGCGTGACGCGCCTCACGCTGGCGGTGTCCTTCAGGATATGGCAGAGCCTCGTCGCGACTCCCATGCGCGTAGCCGAAGAGGCGATCCCGTTCTCCCCGTCGAAGGGGGTCTCGAGCGTCGGGAGGCCGAGCCGCGTGAGAATGTCGTTGGCCAGCTGTCCTCTTGGCTGGGCTACATGATGAAGAAGTCGAGGACATACAAGGTAGTGCTGTACAGCATCAGGGCACCTGCAACCGAATACACAGTCGCGGCGCTGGGGGGGGCACATGCATGCGTGTCGTAGTAGTCCAGGCTCCCGACAGCGCCTTCAGGATGGCCCAGACACGCGCTGGAGGCTGTGTCGCCAAGTATGTGCGAAGGCGGCGCCAGCGCTGTTTGAGATCTTCAGGAAGAGCCTCCAGTTGGACTTGGTCAGGAACGTCATGGGCAGCCAGTGGGTCCAGATCAACTTCAGCATCAGAATCGTGATCATCGTCTCCAAGAAGCAGTTCTGGATCACCTTCAGGAGGAAAACGCAGTCGTTGGCTGTGGATCCAGCGGCGCCTGGCACGGTGTTCAGCAGTGGCCTGTCGACGAAGCGCAAGTGCACGTAGTTGAGCGGCGGGGTCCTGGGGGGCACCGAGCAGAGCCACTTCAAGACGAGATCGTGGAACTTCAGAAGCATGCCGCGCTTCACGACATATAGCAGTTGCCAGACGTCTGCGCTCCGCTCTGGTGGAGCAGATGGGCAAGAAGACGTCGCGGTTCAACACCCGCATGACATACTCGATGCACCACTCGTCCCACTCCTTCTTGTTATCAATGCTGGGGTCCATCAAGAGAAGATGAGAGGGGTCTCTAAGCTATTCAAGTTACATCGCATGAAGAACGACGAACAACCTCAACTATCGTGATAGTTAAGTCCCTGAGTAAACGACAAACAACACACCTCGTGGATACTTACCTACCTTCTCCGAAAAAACGAACGACAAAATCAAATTCCAGAATTAACTACTTTGCTTCAACGACAAAAGAACAGCCAACGAAACCCAAACTACTAACTTCAAACGGGTGAGCAATTAAATAAATATTGGATTACACTTAGCTAAAAACACATCACTCCCCTTTATATACGTCTAACCCATGAATCCAACAAAACCAACGCAGACAAAACAAACAAATGAACAAAAAACAGCGACGCGAACCAACCCGCACAAACCAACTCCGGCAAACAAACAGCGAAAAGCAATTCGCAACATCTCAACCACTTTAAACAAATAGCGGCGGCACTGTTCCAAAACACTTACCGGACAATTAAAAGTAGTAGTAGAAGTCGTCGTCGTCGTCGTCGTCGTCGCCGTCGTCGTCGTCGTCGTCGTCGTCGTCGTAGTAGTCGTAAAACGAATAGCAGTAGTAGTATCAGTATCCGTAGAAGTAGCTGTCGTGGTAGTCCTAGTGGTAATAACAACGGTGGTAGTACGAGGGGCGCCAGTAGTAGACGGGTAGTAGCACCAGCAGTGGTAATATTAATACTTGTCGTCGGGGTAGCAATATCATTGAGCTCCCTACTGGAACCGTACTTCGGGCCCTCTTGCCATCCATTGGGAGCACATGAAGTTCATGTTTGCGCGATACTTGAAACCTACTCCAACGTTTTCGTCTTCTACCAATATCATACTGGAATCTGAGGGGCGTCCGAGTGGGTCCCGCGAGGAGAACTCTTGCATCCACTTGGAATTCGATGAGGGCGTTTCGGAATTATGGGGTCCTATTCCATCCAATTGGAACCCCAATACAGGTCCTATTGGAGGTCTATGGGGATCCCATTGGAATCCTATTCGCCCGAGCGACGACAAACGACGGAAAACGCGCGCCACGACTGGTTGACTTCGAGGAACAACGAGTGGCGCGCCCCCAGGACAAGTGGTGTCCGCGACGAACGACGGCGCGGGCCTGGGCGACTTACCCACTAGCGCCGCACGACGGACGAACGACGGGCGACCCTCATGCGGCTTACCTACTTGTAGCCGATAAAGCCCCCCTCATAAGAGAAGATCAGGGAGCCAGCTGCCAGCCCAGTGCGCCGCGCGGTCTTGTAGATTCGCTCTCGTAGCTTGAGCAAGCGGAAGTGCAGGGTCTTGATGGCGTACTGGACGCGGCAGAAGAAACCAAGCAGACAGGCGTTTAGCTATGGTGTTGTGGAACGTGTCATTGTGGAGCTTGGAGTACAGGCCGAGGAGGTACGCCTTCTGAGGTGACTGCCGGCGTGTCGGCGGGCCATCATCATCTCCAGCACGGCGTCGTGGGGGCTGCATCACTGCTGCGCCTTGACGAGCAACATGAAGATGTGCTGCGCGGAGTGCTGAGTGCGCCCGCTGTTCGCCACCAAGATCACGCACGAGTCTCTTGAAGTGCGAGCTAGCGGTGTTGACGTGGAACTCCG